AAATATATTGGATATTAGTAGTGATTTATAGTATAGTAATTAATATATAATATGTAGTATTTAAGTGTTATATTATGGAATTTGAGAAGTTATTGAAATTTTTATATGATTTTAAAAATATTTTAAATTGTTAGCTATTGTGATTTGTAGTACTTTTTTTTAACATAATTTTGAAAGTAATATTTATTACTCTATTTGTTCTAATTTATGTGGCAGATGCAGAATTTCAAATATTAACCCTTTTTTATATGTCTCTTTAATATATTAAGTTGTTAATTATTGTATTTTATAGTACATTTTGAACCTAATTATTTAATACTATAGGTTATTTGCCATGTCCCAATTTATGTGGCATTAATTGATAGATTTGTTGGAGTCGAGTAAATATATTTACAAATAATATAAGTAATACTATACATTATAATAATTAACAGCTTAATTATTTAAAACTTATATACAAAATTTAATTGAGTCTCTAAATTGTATTGGTACCACATAAAATGGATTATATGATAAACATATATTGTTTGAAATTGACGAAAAAGAAACTATAAATTACAATAATTAACAAAATAAATCTCTCGACTCCAACAAATCTATCAATTAATGCCACATAAATTGGGACATGGCAAATAACATATATTATTAAAAAAATATTTAAATAATTAAGCTGTTAATTATTATAATGTATAGTATTACTTATATTATTTGTAAATATATTTAAATATTATATGTTAGGTTTTTTATCCTAATTTATATGGCATTGATAGAATTTAAAGTGTCAAATAATTGTTAATTATTGTAATAGATAATATGGAGTATTTAAGTCATTTATAGTGTAGTAATTAATATATAATATGTAGTATTTAAGTGTTATATTATGGAATTTGAGAAGTTATTGAAATTTTTATATGATTTTAAAAATATTTTAAATTCATAACTATATATTTCAATGTACAAGATTTTGATAAAATAAAATCTTTAAAGTTAAATTATAATGTTTTTGAAATTTAAATTATTAAAACATATATAATGATTTTATAGAAAAAATAATATCATATAAAATTAAATGAAAAGGATAATAAATTCAACTTTTACCATGATAAGGTTGAAAAATATTATTTAAGTGGAAGGAGGTGGGGCCCACTTGTATATTTTATATAGTAAGTATTGGACATTTGTTATGATTTAATTGGAACAATGATAGTAAATCCTAGACTCTTCTAATATATAGTAATATATAGTAGTAATATATATAATTTATAGTGATTACAAGTGCCAACAATTTCATCGTTATCCAATGATGACCATTGGAAATTATTGTTTCACCTACCGCACAACTAGAATTACTACAACTTAAGAGTAACAATTTTTCAACTACAGCAACTCTTGATTTCTTTTTCTTTCTTTTTGACACTATTCAATGACATAGTAATACTAGTAATCAAACTGTGACATAAATCAATACGAGAATTTGACATCTTAGAATATCACCTGATTCGTTGGTTCTCTTCGACGCCGCAGGTAAGTATTAAACTCGGCTAAACCCTTATTTCTATTTTACATAACATTTACTCCTAATTATTAAACAATACCAATTATAAAAGAGTGAAAGTGACCCACTATTAATTTTAATGTTTTCTCCTTTAACCACCAACTAAATTACTTATTAAAACTACCCACACTAAATTCATAAACGTAGTTACGAATAGTCCAAAATACCCATTTAGAATCTATCGAAAAGTATTTTATGAAATAAAAAGTTCTAGAACTCAAAACGACCAAAAGGGTCGTTACAATATTTTAAACTCAAAATTCAAGTTCGATTATTTTTATGTATTTAGGTTGGTTTGAAGGTGAACTATATATGTATTAAATTTTACATAAATAATATCACGTTTGCTTGTTATTTGGGAGGTAAATTATTCATATATAAAATTAATATGATGTTTGGTTTACAATTTTAAATAACCCGCATAACTAATACATGTTTAAGTTGTGAGGAAATCTATTTATTATTCTATGTAGGATATAAGGTGGATTGACTAATACATGAATAACTAATCCATGCATAATAATAAATAAATTCTCTCATAACTAATCCTTACATTACTAATATCAATATAATTTTTTCCCGCTACCAAACGATCCCGTATAATAGAAATTGAATCCTTTCATTTCTTTATATGCTACATTTTTTTATTTTGAATTTATTTGAGGAAATGTGTCTTGAATTTCATGAGCTTGGGTAAAAAAGAACTTTTTAGTAAAGAGCGATTTTCACCCTCTTAGTGCTTAGTCCAATGTAATATTATTCGAATTAATAAAGCTCAGTGAATTACGATTATCAAAATTCAAATGGTTAAAAAAAAAGGTTCAAGTTCAAGTTAACAAAAATTATAAATCTTTACGCAAATAATCAGATAGATTCACATCTTTTTTAGCTAATATATATAAATTATACATAAGTATACATAAACATACATATATTATACATGAATTATAATATATTATACGACTATTTTTAAAATACACACTCGCAAAGTCACTCTCTTGCTAACATGACCACTACAGTACTAGGGATGTGCTCACAAGAAGGTCACTGTTTCAAAATTATTTCTTTTTTTAGTTATTTTTTTCAAATCATCAAATGTATGCAAGTCCAATTGAATTTCTATTATATAGAAGCATGATGAGCCAGGACGAACCACAACATAATCTTATTGTACATTGTGCAATAAAAGTTAGACAGATTTGTACTTTTTAGTTATTTAAAACAAATGTAGGGGTATTTTTATCTTTTGGATCAGTTATTTCTTCTTGGGAGCTTCTCATCATTCCTCCCTTTCCTTTTTCTCTCTTTAATTTCTCTCTCAAACCCAGAGGCAAGGCTAAGGTCAAGCAACCATATGAATCTTTTCAGAATTCCAATAATAAGGAAGTTTAGCATTAGGTTTATTTAATCCTCTTTAAATTTTCATCCCAGATCAAATCATATTACTATTTTGAGCTTCGTCAATTTATTAGGGTGTACAAGGCTTTGGTGACTGAATGAGACTAATCCTATTCTCTTTTCTCTTCTTATGTTTTACTTAGAAATTATTCGTATTTCTCCTTTAGATTATATCAACTGGGAGTGGGAATTTACAATTGGAAGTGGAAATTTACAAATTTCTCTGTGGATTTTTTGTTTTGACTTTTATTATAATCAATTGTTGAGCTTTCTCACAAGATGTTAGTTCTGTGTTTGGATTAAGAATATGGATTTTGATACCTACTTCCTTTGTTTAAAAAAAGATGCCTCTTACGTTTTTTTTGCAACTCTTTAATTTTCAATTTCCACATAACATGTTTAACACCACGATATTAAAGGACATTTTTGATACATTCTACATATTTCTTCCTGTCTTAAACTTCGTACCAAGTCAAAATTAGGCAAACAATTTGAAATGAAGAACATATATGATATTGCTTTATTCCTTTCTACGTAAATCAGGGATGGTTGGTTTTAGCAAGATAAAATTTGGTTCAGACTTTTGAGCTAGAATCGTGAGTTGTTGATGAGAGTTTTGCGTTGTACGATGATTTTATTTTGTTCAACGAGTTCACTAAAAGTAGAACGTGTAGATTCCTGCACCATAGAGATTTTGCATGAACAAAAAAACGTTTTAAGAGTGTTACTACTCGCTAGAAGTATCTGCATTGTCTCACTGCTGATTGAGAATTATGAGTTGAAAAAAAGGTTCTTTCTCACTAAAAGCTATCACTTTCCTTTAATTTATTTAATAGTGTTCTTGTTTTGGTCAGGGGGAAGGAAGTTGAGTTTGTTGTTTGAGCATTATTTTCATCGGGGTGCTATCCCTCCACCAAATATCTGTCATGTTTGCCCAACTTTTCTGAGCTTTCTCCCGCCTCTCTTTTGGTCTCTCTCTTGGTTTGTTTTCTCTGGATTATGAAGTCACGATTTTTTGTTCTCACTCAGATTAATACTCATGGTCTGTAGTATCTTCATCTCAACAACTTCATATTATCAGCAACAATGTGGATACTCGAAGCTGTTTTCAAAAGGGAGATTTTGAGGTTTTAAATGAATGACTTGCAAATACTAATCTTTGGTCCATTTAAGGTATTATCACCTTCTCCCCATAAGCTATTTCTATTTTCATTGTATCCCTTATTTGTTAGAAGTATTACCTTGTTTGCAGCCTGTCACTAGAACATAATGAATATAGGACCTTTCAAATCAACTTAACAAAGCTAAAAACATGAAGGCATGTACTTCTTCCCCTTAGCAAGTATATGAGTCTCTCTGATTATAGATAGATACCTTTGCAATTCTAACTAATATTATCTAAAAGACTTAATGTTTAAGCAAATTAGAACGGTCAAACAAATGTATTTGTAGTTCCATAAATGTGGTTGTAGAGTGTGTTTCACAAATTAACTATGCCACCTTATCAAATGAAATAAAGGACCCCTAAGGTTATTATGGTCCTTGATAATTTGTGGATTATAGAGAATGGTGAGAACCGTATAGTGAAAATTTTGAGAATTTTTTGAGTTTTCAACGGTGGGAATTTTATCAGATGCAAGGCTTATATACATCACTCTCTACATTTGGATGATAATTTGAATAACATTTGGAGTTCTTATTGGTTTTGCACATTGTATTTTTTTTAGCAGTGTACCATTTATAATTCGACAATTTGGAGCTTAAATTAAATGCCTTATTTCATTTGTGGTGATTATGTTAAGATTCTTGTTAAGTTAAATTGTTGCAATCGCACCACAAACCAAGAGAAAGACTTCTCGAGCTGAACAACCTTCGTGGTGAAATGGTCTTCTATTATGCAGAGGCTAGGGATCACAGTATTTGGAACAACGTACATGTCGTTTACGATGGTTTGGTTTACAAAAGATTCTCAGTTGGACCTGTGGCCAATGTACATTTATCTTAGGAAGGTGACTGCAACTCATTCGCTAATTTTAATCACACTTAGTGTGACGGTTAAGTAGTACGATTAATATTAGCGGTTGGCAAGATATTCTAATGCATTTGTTTGATATCTGAATTTGCAGCTTCATCATTCAGAGAAGTTCAGTGGTATCCCATTGGCTTGTTCTTAGGACCTAAGTTAATAAGAATTGTAAAATTACACACAACACTGTTTCGACAGTAAACAAAAGTAATACTATTACAACATAAGAGGAAAATCTAAGAATGGATTAATGACGATTGATGCAAGAACTATGGATTAATGGTGATTGATGCAGGAACTGGAAGAAGTAGGGGTGATGGAAGAGTTGGAAAAGGAAGTAAAATCGAAGGACAACTTTCAAAAGGATCATGAATGATTGATCACATTGTTCATAAGCATACAAGTCATTTCACAATTCTTATCGATTGAGGAAGGGGATTTGTGATGTATTTGACTGTAGAGAAAATGTAACTCTATTGATGAAATGAATTTGTATTTATTTAGGATCTTATTCAGTAAGAAAAAAATATTATATTATTTTATTATATATTAGAAGCTATAGTATATATACAATGTCTTGCTCTTCTCTTTTTTTTTTTGTTGCCAATTCAAGGCTAAAAAGAAAGAAGGATGTTGATGTCCTCTTTTTTTTTTCTTTTTGGGGGGGGGTGGGGGTTATATACCTCACTTTTTATAATTGGATAATCTTTTTTGGTTGGTAATTTGAATAAACATTTGGAATTCTTATTAGTTTTGCACATTGTACTTTTTTTAGTGTATATATTGCAATTGGTAAAATATTGTTAGTTTTTCTTCTTCATTGTTGGAAAAAATAATAATGTGCATGGGAGTTTCAATACTTCTTGAATAGTTTGACATCCATTTCCATGTTTTAATTATTGATATTACTTTGTCTTTTGCAAGTATTCATCCTAAACTTCTCCACACGGTGGTGTTTGAAAATGATAAAAAAGTTATTTGCTAAGCTGATGCCTACAACTTTTACTCATTCAAAATGATGAATACATATTGTAGATAAAAGAATCCAATAATACATGTATAATGATGTACATATGTGTGATAGTATTACATCAAAATCCAACATATTGGGCTCGTGCTTAGCACGGGCATCGCTTATCTAGTAGTTACAATAAATAAATGGTATCACCAAATTAGTACGTGTTATCTGTCTCCGAGGATACCTTTTTGTGATTGACCTCATTATTTGTTCTCTTCTCCCCCTCAAAAGAAGATGTGACTTTTAAAAACTCTTCCAATTCTTTCATTCCATTTTGCACATTAATTTTCACTTATCTAGGTTAATATTTTATAATAAAAATACTTATATTTTATATTAAGAAAACATGCCTTTGTATCTTAGTTACTTTTTTGGAAAAAATACATAAATAAACAACTTATTTTATCATACTTTGAAATTTCATACCATTTGAAAAAATTATAAAAATTTCTACTCTTTCCTATTATCAGATACATAACTCTTACGCAACATATTGGTAGGGATGTGATGTATCGGGACGTTGAGCGATGTATCGAGACATGTGTGTCTTGTATCAACAAAGTTAATATATCGGGACGCGATGTATTGAACGTTGGGTGATGTATCTCAAATTGGGACGCAATGTATAGAGACGTTGAGTGATGAATCCGAAACCGAAATGCGATGTATTGGAACGTATCCGAAATCCTTCAATCTTCAGGAATCTTTGCAATTTGAAATTGAATAGAGATAGGATGTAATTAGTTATTAACACTATAAGATTTGTGTAAAATATATTGTTTTTCTTTCTGAATCTATATTATTTGAGCAATCCAACATTTACAAATGAATTCAGCCCACTTTACTTGTCAGTAAGCCCAATCAATTGGGCTGATAAACAGGCCCATCGCTCAAAACTGCTACATCCACAAGTCTAATGATGAATGACAATACAACATGTCAACCACTAATTTAAGGACCATATTAGAAGAAGACTTCAGTAGAATCATATATAACTTATCCCAACTAATTTGATGTTGAAACATAATCAATTAATTGTTTAGTGGATATTAACATACAGAGTGGTCAATTTTGCATTTCATTCATATTTTTCTCAGTTTCTCAATGACAACCTGTTCCTTTGAGCCTACAGTAGATGGATCGTTGGATCAATTGAATTCCCTTCGTCCGAAAAGTTATACGGCATAAATAAGGTAAAAATAAAATCTATGATATATTTCTAAGGCCTAAGGGGTCGTTTGGTATGGGATATGAGATAGATAAAGTTATCATATGGATTAGGATATCTCATGAAATTATTTATCCCATCATATATGTGTGATAACTTATTTCATCATTATTGTATAAATGATGAAATAAATAATCTTGGGACTAACTTATACCCCTAACCAAACACAACATAAAATAATCCTACATTTTATTCCAAAATTATTATCCCTTAACCTTCATACTAATCGACCCCTAAATGATTGAATACCCTTGAGGCCTTGCCATAGGAGAAGTACGGGTTCATATTCCAAATATAACATTTTTACATATTTTTAAATCCCCTTGCAAAATTCCTTGCTCCGCTGCCAATTGGATATGATACACACATTCAGATCATTGACTTATCTGAAGTTGAGCTATAACATATCTTCATGCCTCAAGGCTAGTACTTTTTTTTTTTTTTTTTTGGGTTTTAAGGATCCTCTTGTCAGCGGATACACAATAGTAGAGTTATGGGCTAATTAACAGAAGGGACCTGCCTAGCATATGTAGTTCCTAGGTTATCTGCTTCAGATTCCTCATGAGCATACGTTGAAGAAGCTATGAGGATAGAGGGAGTGCCAAAAACTTCTTGTTTCGATCCTTCTTGCGCCAGCCTGTCAACAAGACTATTCTGCTCCCTGAAGGTGTGTTGGAGCCCCCAACTTCTGCAACAATGACCTGCACTCAACAATTAAGAAGTTAGTATATAATGGTTGGTCATTTATTGTATAAATAACAACAAGTATTCTGAAATGATTTCAATCCTACCAAACACATCCTTAATTCGATCGTGGTAACATGTTCTGTTCAATCAATTTATAATAACCAAACAGATTTAGAATTGCTAGGAAATTTTAGGGTAACTAACAAGTTCTTCTACTTGTAACTTTTACCAAGGTCAACCATCTTTGCTCATGAAAAGTCAATCAATAGCCTCATGAAACATGCCAAATGGCTTTTATAAATCATTGTCCAATAGCAATTCTAGAGCTTACTCAACCTTAACCAAAATTCTTTATTCCTTATGGTGCAGACTCACAAAAAGGTAGTGGTATTTGTCTGCATTTTTGTGCTAAATTAGGTGCCAATTTATTCCTCAACTTCACATCATGTCAACATTATCACTCATGATTACTTAAGCTTTTCAGATAGTGACAACTTTTAACAAAATATTATCATTCGGGCGTTCCTTAATATTTTATATTACCACAGTTTTCTGCGGCAAATATAACATACTTTTTAATTGGTGATGGTTAAAGTGATGTGATGATCACTTTAATTTATACCCTCTGTCCACTTTTAATTATCATGTTATGCTTTCGAAAGTCAATTTGACTAATTTTCAAAGTTAAATTAGATTGCATTGATTCGATATTTTAAACAAAAAAAAAAGATATTCAAAAACTATACAAAAAGTACTATAAATTGCAATTTTTTGCATATCAATATGATGAAAAAATACATCGTAAAATGTTAGTCAAAGTTCTTTTCATTTGACTCTAAAAAAGAAAACCATGACAATTAAAAGTGAACGGAGGTAGTAAGTGCTAACATTAAATTGAGAAAGAGAAGCCTTTGAAACCATGAATGCTAATATCGTTTGACTCTAAAAAAGGTAAGGTTATTAATGAGTCCCGAGTGACCTATGGATCATAGATTCAAGCCATTGGAATCAATCATTGATGCTTACCCCATTCTTTCCCGGACTCTATGTGACCGTGTATCCTTTTTTCAAGGTTAAATTGGTGTAAACACGTATTTGCCATCGAAAGTTCTTAGCTTTATTCCTACTCGTAATTCCTAGGCAATGAATAAATTTTCCCTTTTGTACTACAATTGAAACATGGGAGAGTTAACTTTGTCTTCCAAGATCGTGAGAATGCAGCAATCAAATTCATACCCCCCTCTGAAGCAAGATAAAAGTGACAAGCAAGTCCAGCTAGTATCAGTTTACATGTGGAACCAACCCCACACAAATTATTAAGTTTCAACACTTCTACAACAAACATAGCAAGTCATACTAGTCTTTACAAGAAAAGAGTTTCTCATAGCCCTCTGAGTTGTTTTTTACATGCCTTACTTGAGTCGAAGGTATGAAAACAATTTCACACCACCCTCTGAGAACCCGCTCATGGGATTACATTGGTTATGTTGTTGTTGTCGTCAAAAAGAGTTGTGCAAATTATGAAGAACAAAAGAGAGAGTTCCTTATAGTTGAGACAAGTTGACAAACATAAATGCAGAAATCAATATAAATGAAGCAACTTGGCATATCTGAAAAACAGAGAAGCACATTGCCACCTTAAAGAAAAGAGCCCCAAGAACTGATCTTTTTAGCTTTCTTTCTTACAGTGAAAGATGACATTAAACAAATAAAAGCAATGAGAAAAGACAACAACAACATACCCATTGATATTCTACAAAGTAGGCTATGGAGAGGGTAGAGTGTATGCAGTCTTTTTCACTCCTTACCACTACCTCTCCGAGATAAAGAGACTGTTTCTGAAGACCTCGGCTCAAGCAAATCAAAGCAATAATGAACAAAAAAGAAGGTAGTGGGCACAAACATGACAATAAAGAGACTGTTTCTGAAGACCTAGGCTCAAGCAATTCAAAACAATAATGAATAAATAAGAAGGTAGTGGGCAGAAACATAGCAAAGTTGTGTGGCGCATATATGCAAGAATCGTAACAACAACAACAACAAGGTAAACCACAGATGATCAATGAGAAAGATTGGATCTTGAAATTCAAATTGCATTAGATAAATTCAGATATTTACATCCAAATTCAAGTAGATAACCTAGGCCTAAAAAGCAAGCTAAAGAGTTGCAAATTAGATAGCAACTTAATTTCCACCAGCCCTAATTACATCAAGATTATATTCAGATAAAATCAACAATGCTTCCAGTTAATCAATTAACCTAAAACTTAACTTCCCATTTTTTGTTCATCCATATTGAACATGCAAATTATTTACTTTAGACATAACTACCGCATACCAAATCCATGTTTACCATGAACACATCCAGGCCTATTAAAAACATAAGGCGCCTTTCTGGATTTGTTCATCTTGGAACAAGCCCTTTTCCCCAATTTCCTAATCCTTTGTCTCCCAAGTTTATCACTCAACCAATTTGGCACCAACTCATCATCCAAATCATAGTCATAATCTTCTTCTTCCTCTTCCTCTTCCTCTTCATCGTCCTCCTCCTGATCATCATCACGAAAAGTATCATGATGATTGAACCCAACAGGGCAAACCACCAATGCATCAATTGTTTGAACTGGCGACGGAGATCCCGACTCTGCTTCCGATTTCATCGAGATATCAGAAGATGGAGACTCAATTTCACATGGGTCATCTTCTTTTAACATCAATTCAACATCATCATCAGTTTGATCAGTGAAGGAGTAGCTGTCTTCTTGTTCATCATCAGAAGGGTTAACAAATTCCCACGAAGACAATTCATCAAACAGATCATGGGCATCAATTTCTGACTCAGATCTAACAACCATTGTTGCTGATTTTGAAATTCTGAGATTTTTTCCAAGGATTCTCAACATATTGGCTTCTGATTTTCTTGAAAATTGATAAGGGTTTGTATTGAAGTAGTTTACTTGAGGAGGAGTTTTTTCTTTGTAAAATGAGAAGAAAGAAAATGCGTACAAGTAATAAAGGAGAGCAGTTGAGGTGACGTGGCGGTTTTGGTTTGGTCCACCTGTTTGTTTGCTGCATTTCTATTGGTTGAGTTACGTGTCGTTTACTATAATATATCGAACGGTATCGTCTAATAGAATAAACCGAAATGTTAGGATGGAATATCCAAAACGGTGCCGTAAAACACGAAACGTGAAACAATAGAACCCAAACAATTTTTTTCTTCTAGTAGGATTTAGATAAGTTTGACCCAAGAAATGTGGAGAAGGGAATTAAGGAAAGATAGAAGAAATGAAAAAGGATTTAACTTGAATGGTGGAAATAATTTGTATATATTTTTAATGTAGTTAACGTGTGGTAACAAATTGTTTGTTTTCATATTTCAAATAATATCTTTGAATAGTCAATCGTTCGGTTAGAATGAGATTAATATTGATTTTTATTGACGGTATAATTTGTTGTATTAAAAATAACATTTATAATTTTTAAGAAATTATTTGTTTATAAAAATACTCTCCTCTTATTAATAAAAAACGAAGTTCAAGAGACCACTATCTCTATTATTGTCCATCTTAGTTTGACCCTTGAGGAAAGATGAAAGAAGAAAAGATTAGGATTTAAAATTTATATAATGTAAATATATTTTATATCCTCCTTGTAATTTTACATATTTATCACAATTTGAGAATAGTTTATATAGGGAAAGTAATTAATTTCACTTGTTATGGACGATGATGACAAATATTGTTGATGAGAGTAAAAAATCATGATTTGATTAATCGTGTAAATTTAACAATAAGATTTCGAATTTAAAGTCCACGTAATGGAAATTTCTACATATTAATTAACAATAATGTAGTATCCATATTTATTAATTGGTAATATCTTCAAATCTTTGAGGAAATGCACATGTAAAATCAGAACTATGAAATTCCCATATATCTTGTTATAAGGGTTCAAAGATATTGTATCAAACATGATTTACAAATCAATAAAGTTTGAAATTCTAAATCCGCCTCCTCTTATGCTCCACGAGAGGATAGATGAAATGTTCATGAATTTTCATTCAATTAGTTGATATCAACATACTGTGTTATTTGCTTTAGATTAAACTTAGATACACCGATAGCATGAGTAAGCATTTTTACACCATCATGTCAGGCAGAAAATATCTGTAGCAAATGATAAAATAAAAATTCACAGGACAGAATAAAAGTTCTTCCTGGTACATGTGCAAGCGGAAGGTAGTAGGTACCCGTGCAAGCTGACTAGGACACCACGGTTATAAAAAAACAAAAGGTAGTAAAATAAAATACCAGGAAATACAACCAAGACATGCAATTTGAGTTTTAGACAGCAGGGATAGTAACTGCATACACCAAGCAATGTGGAATGAAGTAGCTAATTCTTAAAACTGTGGAGCTGTTCGCCTAAGGAAAATACATTTGCAGTCAACAAATATATACAGAAGTAGCTTCACATATGAATGATCTACTGGTAACTAAATCAAAAGAGTTCCAAGCATGCAGTTTGCTGCAAGTGAGGTCACTAGTTCAATCGTTAACTATGAAAGAAAAACCAATTGATAGATTTCATTAACAAAGGACAGAGTACAGTTCCACCAGTTTACAATCGATTAATGCAGGCTATGCAAATCCAATTACAAAATTCCAAAACTGCAGGGCTACATTGTGGTATTGCACTCTGAAAAACTCGCGATTTTTTCGGATTTACAGGTAAAATATACAAGTGACCGATTAGGCGTCAGAAGAAGAGAAATTGGATAAAAGCAAGACATGAGAGGAGAAAAGGGATGATACAAACGATGGGACAAAAATGGAAGATGTTAAACATGATAGGGACCTCATACCTCAAGGGTGTCCATTGCGGATCTCAGATTGCTTTATAAAGGCTGCTGTTCAGTAATGCATGGTAAAAAAATGATAATATATCTTTTTCATATAAAGAATGTGGACTTATGGCACCTCCAGGTGCAATTACTAGTTTACTACAATGTCTCAACCTTGGAGTACTCTGACAATCTCCCCTGCTCTTGACTCAATACCTTTCAGATACTCAATCAGAACTCGCTGCTGATACGAGCCGCCCTCCTGAGAGAGTAAACCACGTCAACAACCATTCAATGAGTGCCAGAAAGCAAAATTCAACTATTGAATCCCTACCGTACGTATCAAAGTCCGTTCCATTCTCTTCTTAATAACAGTATACAATTCCTCAGGCGAAATATCACCTTTTCCAAGAGTCATGCCATCTAGCAAGAGCTTGTTCCATACTTCCTCCGGTGCTGTATCAAAGGGATAAGTGAATTTCATGAGAGGTGAATAACATTTGAGGCAATCGTAAAGTTCAAGTCAAAATATTTGATGGTAAATGGACCGTAGAGAGTGAGTAAAAGCTTTTCACACTCCATAATGGGAGATAAGTCATGTCTGTCCAATTCCAATGTCAACTAACAAATTCATTGCCTCTAGAGAGTCTAATTGGTCCATCTGTTACCC